TAAGATAGCAGGCGCGTCAAGGAAACATGGCATACGATAGCAATCATAGCAAGACAACATATCATACTATATCACTAATATCAAGACAACCTGGCAACACGAGACACCACTATAGAGACAACAAAGGGTAGCATAGCAAACACATTGCCAGAACATGGCAATCGTATTGATGCAGCTGGGGTCTCCTGGGGCCCCCTGGGCCCTCCTGGTGTCTTGAGGCCTCCTGGGTGCCTCCAGGGTGCCTCCTGGGTTTCCTGATGTCTCTCTCCTGAAGCCTCCTGGGGCCTCTTGGGGCCTCCTGGGAGCCTCCTGGGGCCGCCTGTGCCCTCCTGGGGCATCCTGGCACATCCTTTGAGCCGCCTGATGCCTTCTGGGGGCCCCTTGGGGACCTCCTGGTGCCTCCCGATGCCTCCTGAGGACAGATGTGGTGTTATGATGGTGCGTCCTGGAGTCTCCTAGGGTCTCCTGGCCTTTGGGGCCTCCTGGCACCCCCTGGAGTCTCCTGGGCCTCATGGTGGCCTCCTTCGGTCCCCTGGAGTCTCCTGGGGCCTCCTGAGCATCCTGGGGGTTCCTGGGTGTTCTGGGTCCTCCTGGTGCCTCCTTGGGTCTCCTGGTGCCTCCTGATGTGTCCTCTGGTTTCCTGAGGGCCTCCTGGGGTCTCCTGGGGCCTCTTGTGGCCTCTTGGGGCCTCCTGTGGTTTTCTGATGCCTCCTGGGGCCTCCTGGGGGTTCCTGGGACCTCCTGCGTGCCTTTCGTGGGACGTCCTGAAAACTCTCGCGGCCTCCTGCGAGCTCCTGGACACTCCCGGAACTCCCTGAAACGTCATGGGGCGTCCTGGTGCCTCCTGAAGCATCCTGGGGTCTCCTGGCCTGTTGGGACCTCCTGGCGCCTCCTCAGGCATTCTGGTAGCCTCCTGGTGCCTCCTTGGGTCTCCTGGGGCCGTCTGAGCCTCCTGAGGTTTCCTGGGCGCTTTCTGGGGCATCGTACGGAAATCCTTCGGAAATCGTGCGGCGGCCCAGGCGTGGAGGGCGTGCCGTTGCTACTACTACTACTACTACTACTACTACTACTACTACTACTACTACTACTACTACTACTACTACTACTACTACTACTACTACTACTACTACTACTACTACTACTACTACTACTACTACTACTACTACTACTACTACTACTACTACTACTACTACTACTACTACTACTACTACTACTACTACTACTACTACTACTACTACTGACTACTACTACTACTACTACTACTACTACTACTACTATGACTATACTACACATACTAATACTACTACTACTACTACTACTACTACTTACTACTACTACTACTACTACTACTACTACTACTACTACTACTACTACTACTACTACTACTACTACTACTACTACTGACTACTACTACTACTACTACTACTTACTACTACTACTACTACTACTACTACTACTACTACTACTACTACTACTACTACTACTACTACTACTACTACTACTACTACTACTACTAACTACACTACTTACTACTACTACTACTACTACTACTACTACTACTACTACTACTACTACTACTACTACTACGACTACGACTACTACTACTACTACTACGACGACTACTACTACTACTACTACTACTACTACTTTTACTATTACTATTACTGTTACTACGACTACTACTATTATTACTACTACTACTACTACTACTACTACCACTACTATTACTACTATTACGACTACGACTACGACTACGACTACGACTACGGCTACGACTACGACTACTACTGCCACATTATGGATACCAGCGGACGCCCTCTCCTTCTCCTCCTCCGCCTCCTCCTCCTCCTCCTTCTCCTCCTCGGGGTGACAAGCCGCCCCCGCCCCCTTCCCCCCCAAACAATTACCCTGTGGCGTACCCAACCCATTTATATCATGGGAAACGAGGCGTTGGCCGAAACTTGCACGGACAATCACATTGCAGGATCCGTTGTTTGATATGTAAGCTACTTGGGGCACGCGCCAATGGCATGATGCGCAGGAGAACCATACAAGAACGAGGGGCGACAACTACAGGCTCGAAGAGGACATGGGGAGTCGGGAACGAAGAGCAGGAGAAAGACGTGCGGGCAGCCCACAGTGCTGTGCCCCTCAGCAGCCCTCGAAAGTGGCGAGAGTTTCACAGATCGCAGCCCCCCAGGGATGGCGAGGTCCCATTTGAGTCTGCGGTGAGTACCCACTGTGCTGGGCCCCTCAGCAGCCTTCGAAAGTGGCGAGAGTTTCACAGATCGCAGCCCCCCAAGGATGGCGAGGTCTAGTGAGTCTGCGGTGCGTACCCACTGTGCTGGGTCCCTCAGCAGCTTTCGAAAGTGGCGACGGTTTCACAGATCGCAGCCCCCCAGGGATGGCGAGGTCCCATTTGAGTCTGCGGTGAGTACCCACTCTGCTGGGCCCCCCAGCAGCCTTCGAAGGTGGCGACAGTTTCACAGATCGCAGCCCCCCAGGGATGGCGAGGTCCCATTTGCATCCGCCGTGGGTACCCACTGTGCTGGGCCCCGCAGCAGCCCTCGAAAGTGGCGAGAGTTTCACAGATCGCAGCCCCCCAGGGATGGCGAGGTCCCATTTGAGTCTGCAGTGCGTACCCACTGTGCTGGGCCCCTCAGCAGCCCTCGAAAGTGGCAACAGTTTCACAGATCGCAGCCCCCCAGGGATGGCGAGGTCCCATTTGAATCCGCCGTGGGTGCCCACTGTGCTGGGCCCCCCAGCAGCCCTCGAAAGTGGCGACAGTTTCACAGATCGCAGCCCCACAGGGATGGCGAGGTCCCATTTGAATCCGCCGTGGGTGCCCACTGTGCTGGGCCCCCCAGCAGGCCTCGAAAGTGGCTAGAGTTTCACAGATCGCAGCCCCCCAGGGATGGCGAGGTCCCATTTGCATCCGCCGTGGGTACCCACTGCGGTGGGCCCCCCAGCAGCCCTCGAAACGCAGCGACGAGCCAGGTGAAAGGCAGGAGGGGAGAGAGGGACGGGAAGGTTCGCGCGAGCAGTGCTCAATTCAAAACGAGAACCCAACGCAGGAGGGTTGGGAACAAATCCGAGCGAAGGACCCATCCAGAAGTAGCTTCCAGTATCGCGGCGCAGGTGAGAAGGAGGGGGGGGCCAGGAAAAGAATTGCGACGTTGACTGCGAGGGATTGTACTATTTGGCGTGAGCTCCGTGCGCCGCCAGTTCGCGCACACTCTTTCAATCCTCTCCGTGTTCCCAGCGTGCGGCGTTGCATTCCTGCCCGCCTGGCCCGCGGTGGCCCGAGCCCCGGGCCCCGACGGTTTGGATCCATGCCCTTCTCTCGTGTTTCTCCCCTCCTTGTTCTTGCGTTCCGTTGACCGCGGCTCTGGGCACTGCGCATTGCGGAGTCCCCGCGACGCGCGCCGGTCGCCCCGAAGGAGTCCCGGCGTCGCGCGCGCGAATCGTCCGCGGCACGGAGCAACGAGCAAGGCGTTACGGGGCCACGAGACCTGCGAGGTGTGCCAACATCGATTTGCAGTGGCCGAGGAGCCGCATGCGAACCCTTCCGTTGGGACCTTCGGTGGAGGTCCCTAAAGGGCCGCGAAACGTTTGAGGGGTGTGCTGAAAGGGACATGCGGTGAGCGGGGTGCCGCATGCGAGCCTTGCAATTGGGGCCTTCCGTTGAGATCCCTGTGGGGCCACGCAACGTGTGAGGGGTGTGCCGAAACAGACATGCGGTGGGCGGGGAGCCGCGTGCGAACCTTGCAAATGGGCTTCCAGTGGAGGTCCATCAGGGGCAACGCAACGTGTGAAAGGTGCGCCAGCATAGACATGCGGTGGGCGGGGGCTCGCATGCGAACCTCGCCATTCAGTTCTTCAGCGAAGGTCATTGTGGGGCCACGGAACGTGCGAAGTGTGCCGAAATCGATTTGCGGTGGCCGGGGAGCCGCATGCGAACACTTCCATTGGGGCCTTCGGTGGAGCTCCCCACGGGGCCGCGAAACGTGTGAGGGTGTGCCGAGATGGACATACGGTGGGCGGGGGGCCGCATGCGAACACTGTCACTGGGGCTTCCAGTGGAGGCCCCTTTGGGGCCACGCACCGTGCGACGGGTGTGCCGTAATGGTTGGTCTTCGGGAAGAAAAGGCAATGATGGGACGAGGGAGGAGGGAGACGAGGAGGAGGAAGAAGGGGAGGAGGAGAAGAAGACGCGGGGCGGTTTTTATTCAAAACGACGACCCAGCACCACAGGACGGTTGGGAAAAAGGAAACGCGCGAAGCCAAATATTGGATGCGCTCGAGGAGCTAGCGAGGTGTGCGCTGCACGGCGCTAGTGCCAGTTGAGTCGTGTTCGTGATGACCGCCTCCCCCATCCACCCTCCTCCTCGTCTTCCTCCTCCCCCCCCCCTTCGCCCCCCGCCTCTCTCTCTTTCTCTCTCTCTCTGTCTCTCTCTCTCTCTGAGTCTCTCTTTCCGCACTGCTTTTCCACCCTCGCCACACCTCTGCCTGCCATTTCCCCCTTCGTCCTTGTCTTCCTCCTCGCCCCCCCCCCCCCGGAGCGGAGCGAGGAGGAGGACGGGGGGGAGGGGGAGGAGGAGGAGGGAGGGAGGAGGAGGAGGAGGAGGAGGAGGAGGAGGAAGGAGGAGGAGGAGAGGAGGAGGAGGAGGAGAGGGAGGAGGAGGAGGAGGAGGGAGGAGGAGGAGGAGGAGGAGGAAAAAGGGGAGGAGGCAGAGGACGCGGAGGAGGCGGAGGAAGAGGAAAAGGGGGGGGGGGAAGAGGAAGGTGGAGAAGGCGGAGGAAGAGCAGGAGGAAGAGGAGGAAGAGGAGGAACGAGGAGGAACGAGGAGGAACGAGGAGGAACGAGGAGGAGGAGCAGGAGGAGGAGGAGGAGGGGAAGGACTGTCCCCTTCGTGGGGGAGCCGGCGCGCCACCCCTGACCCGCTCGATTGGGGGCGCGGGCGCGTACGGTTTCGCTCGCCGCCGCCGCCGCCCTCGAGGCCCGGCTAACCGGGGGCCAGGCTGGGGCAGCGCGCGGCGGAGGACCGGAGGGTTCCGCGGGGGGGGTAGGGCAGAGGGGGTCGGGCCGGCCCCCTGTGGTCCCAGACAGGCTCGCGTCGTGTAAAAGTCACGACGGGCGATTTTGGACAATGTTCGCCCTTCAGGAGCCCACGCTGGGCCGCAGGCCTGTCAAAACACAACCCGTGATGAAACACCTGGCCTGAGGGAAGGGGTCAGGACTTCCAGGGACCGCGCATCGAAAGAAGCAAAGCATCGGCACTGGATGTCTGCATGTAACCACCTCTTAGCCTTCGGAAATGGGGGTGCGGTCAGGAACGTATGCCCAGCGTGTCGAACCGTCGGTCTTGGCCCACCGCGCTTCGGCGCGACACGCCAAGCACGTCCCAGTCCCTAGCATCAACCTTCCGAGCGTTTCCCAGCCGCCCACCCCACGAAGTAGAGCGACACGCTGTCCGCTTGCAAGGCATAGCGTGTCGCAGGGGCCGCCGCCGCGACACACAGAGCAGAAGCTCCTGACCGTGAACGCGGGGGGGTCGGCCCAACCCCTCCTGCCTTGCCCCCCATTCCTGGAACCCTCTGGGAGGAGGCCGAAGCCCCCCCGAGCGGCCGTCGGGGCGGGGAGGCCCGCGGGGGGGGGCCTTGCGCGCGCTCTTAGCCAGCACAAATGCGCGCGTGCACCACAAATAGCTCGGAGGTCCGCGCGGACTTCTTGGGTCGGCGATGCCCCCCCCCCCCCCGGCGGCGGCTCCGGCACCGCCCCCGGTGCGCTCCGTCGCGCCGGGTAGGGCGGTCCAGCGCCGACCCAGGAACTCCACCCAGGCTTCCAAAAGGATCTGGTGGTGCCGATGATTGCTACTCTTCTAATCAAGCCTCACAAGCACAACCGCGGTAAGGCGACTTGATGCAAGGCTCTGCATCCTCGACTGTGGCCAGACTTCTGCCTTGCAGAAGTCAAGGCCACGGGTCGCGAGTCATCTATTTCCCTTTGTCATGGGCGAGCCCCCATCTGATAACCTATATTTGTGTGGGCGGCGGCGTGTGCGCCTTCCGTGAAGAAAGATTTGAGTATTCCCCCTCTGGAACCGCCAACCCCGAGTATGTTGCCCCTGCCGTCGGCCAGGCGGCATTCTGAGGCAGCACTCTGAGGCAGCACCCTGGGCCACAACCCAGGCGAGGGCGTCAGGGAGGCCGAGGAAGAAGATAAATCGCTCCAGGACGATCCTGAATTCCTGAACACTCTGGCTGGGACGGCCGCGGCGCCCGATGCACGCCCTCCAGATCCGCTCGCTTTCAGAGATCCCCGAGTTATCTAATGCCGACCGTGTCGTGTTGCTGCCGTCGTCTCAGGTGGCCAGAGGGGGGGCCCGCTGAGGAGGCGCAGCGGCGTCTCGTCGGCAGCGGGCCTGGCGTACTGCCCTCTGGAGCTGGCGGGGGCTTCCTGGGCTCGGGCGTTGCGTTCTGGGGGGGCGGTAACTGTGGGGAAGGAGGGCAAGGCACTTTTTGTGTACCTTGGGCTCGGGCGTTGCGTTCTGGGGGGGCGGTAACTGTGGGGAAGGAGGGCAAGGCACTTTTTGTGTACCTTAGGGGCCCTGGGCACGAGAGGTGCACCCCCCCCCCCCCCCCCCCCCGGCTTATCTCTAGGCCTCCTAGACGGGCTCCGAGCAGATGGGGTCGGAGGATCGCGCCGCATCGCCAATGCATCGCCGATGCGGCTCGATGTGCAGCCCGATTTCCTTCACGCCGACGCCGCCGATGCATCGCCCGCGTCGACGATGCATCGCTGGTGCATCCCCGATGCGAAGCGGCACGATCCTCCGACCCCATCTGTTCGGACCCCATCAGGGAGGCCTCTCTGTCATCGCCCCCCCATGAAGCAACGCCCAATGGGCCCCTGCCCCCTCCGCCCGCGTCGGGCGGGGGAGGCCTTGCGGCGGAGGGTGGCCCCGCGCGCTGGCGGCAGCCACCCAAGGGGATGCCCAGCGCCGACCTCCGACACGTCCGTGCACTCGCGGCGCCCCTCCATCCTTGGAGCAGGCTGGGGGGCTGAGGTGGCCCAGAGCAGGAAGGATGCGGGAGGCGAGGAGAGGTTCGAGGTTTTGGGTTCGGGCAGGCTCTACGTGCCTTTGTCGGTGTCTGGGGGCCGTTTTCGAGCCCCAGGACCGCCAGAAACGGATCCGGAGTGAGAAACTGCACCATATGGACTCCGAGAGAGGTCCAGGGACTGATTTTGAGCGGAGTTACCTTGATCCCCCCGTCTTGACCGATTCTCTGGGGGCCCATCCAGCTCAGACCCCTAGGTCGCCTCCAACACCGACACGTCCGTGCACCTGCGGTGTCCATCCATCTCTTCCATGGGGGCACTCAACACGCACCTGCACAGATCCTGGGCAAGACCATCCTGGGCCCAGGATTTCGCGGGCGGCAGGCATATCCGCATCAACGGCATCGCGGGCTGGGCCCCTGGGCCATGACCCTGTCGACATGGGCTGCGTCTCCTGTGCGTTCAGGTCGTTTCGCACGCAGCGTCTTCCGAACGTCCTCCCCCCCTCCTTCCGCTTCCCCTGTGCGTTCAGGCTCTTTCGCACGCAGCGTCTGCCGAACGCCCTCCCCCCGTCCCTCCCGCTTCCCCTTTGCATTCAGGTTTTTTCGCGCGCAGCGTCTGCCGAACGCCCTCCCCCCGAGAGGGAGAAAAATCATTCGATTTGATTCCTCTCGCTTCGCGGGGTGCACGTCCGGAGCACGTACAGTCCAGCTGTTGTGGGGCCTTTTGGGAGCCTCCTGGGGGGTTCTTGGAGGCCTCTTGGGGGCTTCCTGGGGCCTCTTGGGGGCCTCCTGGGGGCCTCTTGGCGGCCTCTTAGGGGGCGTCTTGGGCCGTCTTGGGCCGTCTTGGGGCGCTTTTGCGCCGTTTGGCCCCTTCGGGGGCCTTCTTGGGGGCCTCTCGCGGCCGCCTTGGGGCCCTCTTGGAGTCCTCTTGGGCCGTCTTGGGGGCCTCTTGGACCGTCTTGGGGGCCTCTTTGGGCCGACTTGGGGCCCTCTGGGGCCGTCTTGGGGCCCCCTTGGGTGCTGCTTGGGTTGTCTTGGGGCCATTTTGGAGGCTGCTTGGGCCGTCATGGGCGTTTGAGAGCCGGAAAAGGCGAGAACGCTAAAATCCTCCAAAAACCTAGGAAAATCTATGTTTTTGGCCTTTGGAGGCGCACTTGTGGGCGCTCTTGGGGGGGTGGGCGTGGGGCCAGCTTGGGGGCTTTTTGAGCCTTCTTGGGGCCATCTTGGGCCGTCTTGGGGCCGTCTTGCCCCGTCTTGAGACCATCTTGAGCCGTCTTCACGCCCTCTTGGACCCCCAAGAGGCCCAAGAAGCCGAAATCATTGATTTTCCATTGGTTTTTGTGGTTTTAGGCCCCGAAGGGGCCCTCCACCTTTGGGTCGACGGAAGTGGCGCGACTCCGGGGGGGGGGGTAGGGGGGGAGACATAATAATGTAACACAGTGCAATATGTGGCAATAATGCAATCATTGGATACATTGGATACGTTGCATTAGGGCTTCCGCTCAGCTGCGCGACCTGCCTCCGGCAACACGTCACTTCCGGACGTGGATTCCTCTCGCTTCGCGGGGTGCACGTCCGGAGCACGTACAGTCACGTCGTCGCGGGGCCTCTTGGGAGCCTCCTGGGGGCCTCCTGGAGGCCTCTTGGGAGCTTCTTTGGGCCTCTTGGGGGCTTCTTTGGGGCTTCTCCCCCCTCCTTTTCATACTCTCTCCCCATCTTCCCTTCCGGCGCCGGCTCTAATCATGGGCGCCGCCGTAACCAACTTCCACCTGGCTGGCGCTGCGCCGCAGTTCGCCCAGGGGGGGGAAAATAACATTACACTCCAGTCGTTGTGTGGCCTTGTGGGGGCTTCTTTGAGGCCTCTTGGGGGCTTCTTGGGGACTTCTTGGAGGCCTCTTGGGTTTTTTTGGGGGCCCCTTGGGGGCCTCTTAGGGCCTCTCGTGGTCTTTTGGGGGCGTCTTGGCCGTCTTGGGGCGTTTTTGCGCCGTTCCGCCCCTTCGGAGGCCGTCTTGGGGGCCTCTCGCGGCCGCCTTGGGGTTCTCTTGGGGTCCTTTTGGGCCGTCTCAGGGTTTTTTTGGACCGCCTTGGGGGCCTTTTTGGGCCGTCTTGGGGCCCTTCTGGGCCGTTTGGGGGCCCTTTGGGGGGCTTATTGGGCCTTTTTGGGGCAATTTTGATGGCTGCTTGGGCGGCCATGGGCTTCTGAGAGTTGAGAAAGGCGAGAACGCTAAAATCATCAGAAAATTATATGAAAATTGACGATTTTGACTTCTGGAGGCACTCTTGGGGGTCGTCTTGGGGCCCTCTTAGGATGTCTTAGGAGTGTCTTGGGCCCTTTTGGGGCCATCATGGACCGTCTTGGAGCCGTCTTCGCCCGTCTTGAAGCCATATGGAGCCGTCTTGAGGCCCTATTGCGCCTCCCAGAGGGCCCAAAGTCCCGAATCATCGATTTTACATAGGTTTTGGTACGTTTTTGAGCCCCAAATGGGGGTGGCCACTTTGGGTCCACGGATGTGGCGTAGCCCCTGGGGGGGGGTAGGGGGGGATACATAGTAATGTAACACAATTCAACATGTTGCAATTATGCAATCGTTGGATACATTGGATACGTTGCATTATCGCCTCCGCAGAAAACGCTGCCGCTGAAATCGCCGGAAAAGGCGAGAACGCTAAAATCTTTCAAAAACCTAAGGGACATCTATGTTTTGGGCCTCTGGAAGCGCTCTGGTGGGCGCTCTTGGGGCCCTGTTGGGCCATCTTGGGGGCGCGTTGGGCCCTTTTGGGGCCATCTTGGGCCGTCTTGCGGCGGTCTAGTCCCGTCTGGAGACCATCTTGAGCCGTCTTCACGCCCTCTTGGACCCCCAGGAGGCCCAAGGAGCCGAAATCATTGAGTTTCCATTGGTTTTTGTTGGTTTTTAGGCCCACAAGGGGCCTTTCACTTTTGGGTCGACGGAAGTGGCGCGACTCCGGGGGGGGTTAGGGGGGAGAGATAACAATGTAACACAATGCAATATGTAGCAATTACGCAATCATTGGATACATGGGATACGTTGCATTAGGGCTTCCGCTCCGCGACCTGCCTTCGGCAACACGTCACTTCCGGACGTGGATTCCATAGGCTTACGCCACATCCGCCGACCCCTTGATGTAGTCGGGGGCCTTATTTTGCTGTCCTGGGGCCTTCTAGTGTCGATGCTCGGGGCCGCAGGGGCGAAAAGGAGGAGGAGGGGCATGTGGAGGTGGAGGAGGAGGAGGGGGTGGTGGAGGAGGAGGAGGAGGAGGAGGAAAAGGTGGAGGAGGACAAGTGAGGATCTGGTTTGTGGGCGTGAGCTTAGGCCTCCGGAGGCTGTTCGGGACGATCCCGGCACCACCAGAACGCATGGTTTCACCTTGGATCTGGAGGCAGTGTGCGGATACCCGGACCGCGAACGGGAGCGTGGGTTTGAGGCTACTGGGATGGCTCATGGGGTCTCGTGGGAGGGCTCTTGGAGGCGTGTTGGACCCAGTTCTGGGGCCTCTGAGGGACCTCCTGGAGAGGTCTTGGAGGCCTTTTGGGGGATCTTGGGGTTCCCCGGGGGCCCCTTGGGGCTTCTTGGGTGTTTCGTGGGACAATCTGGGGGCGTCTTGGGGCCGACGGGTCGAAATTTCCGGTTGGGTTCTGCTTCTGGACCCTTTCTGGGGGCCGTCTTGGGGCAGTCTTCGGCTGGCTTGGGGGTTTCTTTGGCCGTTTGAGGCCGTCTTGGGGATATCTTGGGCCGTCCTGGAGCCCTCGACGCCCTCCCCCCGAGAGGGAGAAAATTCACTCTATTTGACTTGGGGTCTTTCTGCGATAACAACAAGCTATACTTCACAACAGAACTGCACAAATGCGAAACCGCTCACGCAAGCACGCGCAGAAATCTAACTCGCTCGTGCATACATAAACACGTGCACATTCCAACCTACAACGCATATAAGCATGTCCACACAAAAGCACACGTGCGCACACATACGCACACACACACACACACACTGAGTACATGCCATCGGCATTACAAAATCCAGTAGAACACATCGGAGTTCGCAGTGAGTGTTCAATTAGACGTGCCAGTCATTTGTCCCCAAGAGCTTGCACGCGGATTTTATGTGCAAGACATGTCCAGTGGACCTTTGACAGTGGTCGCATGGACCTCTGTGCTTTGTTTGTCTCCACCCGCGGACATCCCACAGAAGAAGAGTGTTGTTTCCCGTATGTGTCTATGGTTGCTAGAGAAGATATGTTCATACGCGTTTCTTCTTGGCGGCAATGGTCGCTAGAACTGCGGTCGACCTGCTGGTGGGTCTCTTCCCCGCCGCTGTCTCGTTCTCGTTGACAGTACCGAGTTGATACTCCACCGAGGAAATAAAGCGCTTGATAATAGTTCCTCTGCGCTGATCTGATACCGAAGAATACCTAATACTACGGAAACATCACGTTTGCTGACAACTACCAAGCCATCATCTGCCGAATGACGAACGAGCGGACTGCAATCTTCATGTGACGTTGAGTCTGATATCGCACATTGGCGAAATAGCTGAAAGTGCGTGCGCTCGTTGGCCGTGGTGCCGTCGCGCACCAACTCGACGTTCGCGGACTTCGTCAGGAAACGGGTGCTGTTTTGAAAATACTCGTACGGGGTGGCAGTTGCCGCATTGCGAAATCACCTCGAAGTTCGGCCCGTCCCGCACGAGCGAATCGTGCTTAACAGCGGTCGCCGCAAGTAATTCCAAATACTCGGAGGGCTTGCGGAAGGGGCTCTCTGGGTCGGCGCTGGCCGATCCAAGCAATGCGCGCGGACCTCTGGGCGATGAAGCGTGCGCGAGGCGCGGTCTTGCGGTCGAGCGCCGTCGCAAGCGTGCGGCAGTGATGGAACGGGGGATGTGCTACGCTATTCGGGGCCCCCAATCTTGCTTTCCGGTCAGGGGGGCCCGCGTCTTTGATTGAGGTTCGACCTCGCCTTCAGTGCCACCCCCAACCCCCAGGGTCCATTCCGATCCGATCGACCCGACTCGGTGTCGGCTCTGACCCGCTCGATTCGATTCGATTCGATGTAGATGCCCGGGCGATCCGACGCAGCCCGATGTTAGCCTGGTGTTGTTTCGCATCCTGACGCGGCCGATCCGATTCGATCTCGACCCCGTGCCGACGCAGGCCGATCCGACGCACATCTCGATCCGATCCGACCTCCCGATCCGATGCCGACGGATCCTGCCCCTCCCTACCCTCCTCACTTTCCCCCCCCCCGTGGGTATCTGGTGGGCTTCGCGGGTGCGCTCGTTTGCCTTTTCATCGTGCTCGTCTTCATCCTGGTGCTGCAGTGGAATGAGGCCGTCAGGCAAGGGGCAAGGTTCAGTGGACCCCCCCCCTTGGGCGCCAGCTCTCTCCGGAGGCCCATCCCCTGCGGCCGCAGGCGCCCTGCGCGGGATGCTGCCTCGGGGCCCCGCGGGGCGGAGCAGGCGGGGTCGTGCCTGCTCTCACCCTCGTGTTCCTCCTGCCCCCCTCCTCGCGAGGAGGGAGAAGGGAAGGAGGGAGGGAGGAAGGGAGGGAGGGAGGGGATATTTTCGCCCGAGTTCCACCCTCGGGTTGCGTTCCAGCAGCGGCGCCTCGCCGGGAGCGTTCCTGGGGCGCCCGAGCGGCCACAGGAGGCCCGAGTTGTGACCCGGAAACCAAGGGGTGGGCGGGGAAGGAAGAGTAGAAGGAGAAGGGGGAGGAGGGAGGGAGGAGGAGGGAACGAGGAGGAGGAGGGTGGAAGAGGAGGAGGAGGAGGAGGAGGTGAAGGTGGAGGAGAGGGCGCGCCGCCTCCTTCCCCCATCGCGAGCCTCTCGCGCCGCTGCTGCTGGTGTTGGTGCTGCCGCTCGTGCTGATGCTGATGCTGCCTTGGTGCTGGTGTCGCAGGAGCTGCTGCTGTGGCGGTTGATGCTGCTGGCGCTGTTTTCTGTTGCGGCTGCGCTGCCAGCGCTGGACGTACTTCGGAAGCCTCGTTGTTGATGGCGGCGTTGTTGCCACAATGCGTTGCTAATCAGTTCTAGCTCAGCAGGCATCACGTTTCTGTTATGTCTGATTGCTGCGGTACGCTGGATTGGAATGACTACGGCGTGCTAGTTGTCTTACTGGCACGAGCACCACGCTTCTTGAATATAATGCAGGGCGTGTGTATGTGTAAGGCGTTGTTGGCATATCAGGCTGCGGTCGGGCGTCAGATCACTGCTCCCGTCAAGCGCAGCTCCCCCACGGAGGACACAGTGGATTCCTCTTTGACTTGTTGACAATTTTCGGGGGGGGCTCTGAAAGTACACCATGTGTTACAGGTCAGATGTCAAACATAGTCTTGCTATTCACCGCCTTGGTTTGCTCATACATGCGCCTGCCCCGCCCCGTGGGTGAACATGGGTCGACTAGCTTAGGCGGTAGATATTGGCTGGAAAGTGCGTACGACGCCGAGCTTGGCCAGGTCAGGCTGCGTCGCACACGTTTGGCTTGGCAATTGGGCACGTCATGCCACAGGCCCCCTGCTATGGTCTCCCTTCCTTCTTGCACATAGCTCTCTTCGTCATGTCACTTGGCTACATTGTCTCGTCGGGGGGACCGACATGGGCACGGAAAGAAGGGGGACGAAGACCAACATCAGTTCTTGTCCATCTTGGATCGTTGTCGATGTCGCCGCGGATGTTGTCCATTTGAGACAGCAGGCCGCCTGCCAAACAGCGGCCGCTGTTGGTTTTGAACAGTATTTGCTGGTGGGCATCGTAACCATTTGTCCCGTGCCCATTTCTGGCGTCCAGATCGTTGCCAGTTGCATGTGATTCGCCCCTTGCGTCACATGTTCGTTCCATCTCTATCCCATGACGAGGTGTCGGCACAGCGCCCTGCGAAGAGGCGAGGGGCGCAGGGCCAAGCTTGAATCTGCTCTGGAGCGGGGGGTATCGTTGTCCATACTGGCAGGGTTAGGGTCTGCGGCGCAAGGAATACGAGCATATTAACAAGTGGCGCGCTGCGCAGAAAGGGCCTTGCCTGCCAGGACCGAAGGAGTTGGCATTGGAATTCGTTGGGGCGAGTTTGAGGGCCTTTTTTCTGGTCGTCTCGGATCGCTGGAAGCCCGAAAAGGCCAGGACGCGAAAATCATTCAACAACCTGAGGCCTATGAACGCGTGTGCCCTCTGAGAGGCTTTTTGTGGGAATGCTCTTGTAGCCCACTTGGGGCGTCTTGGAGCTCTACCGGGCCACATTGAAGGAGCATTCGGCGTCTTCGAGCGTGGTTGGGGTCGTCTGAAGGGACCTTTGGACAGTCTTGGGGCCCTGTTGGGGCCCTCATGGCCCGTTCGGGGATTCTGTGGCCTCCGGAAAGATCGAGCGGGAAGTCGACCAATGCATGCGGGAAACAAAAAAGCATACGACACCCTTGCTTAAAAGGTGAATGGAGCCTTTCTGTCCCTGTAGGGCATTTGCATGCTCAAAAGTGAGGGTTGAGGAACATTTAATGACATGAGGACACTCCACTCAATCCCTTGGCACGGTGGAGAATACGTGCACCAATGTATCATGAACTGTTTGTGGTGTGTGCCAACGTCCCTCGTGCGAATGCACTGACATCCAGCTTGGCTCCGAAGAGTTCGTCTTGCTGCCCTGCAACTACAAGTAACGGTTTACTACCCACGTTGAGTCTCGACTTGCGCTGAAAAGAATAATCGAGTTGACCAACGACCATAGCCCATAGCTCCCGTATTGCATGATATGTGTGCTTACGTTTGTGGCATTCGGTTTGCATCATTGCTGCACTTTGGAAACTGCTGACGCATGCACGCCGTTCGAAATGTCGTCCGAACTTCGTCATTTCCAGTGCGCGTGAGCCGGCGTTTTGGAGGAACGAGCAGATTTTGGCCCGGTTTGGAAACGCCCAGAGGGGCCCGAAATTGTCGTATTCCACTTTGCCGTTGCTCTGGGCGTCGCCGACTTCGATAAGTTCTTCTTGTGGGCACACGTTGCGTGAGCGATCAGGAATCAAGAGCACGCTCACATTAGTTGCACAAAGTTGTTCTACTTCTATTGCACATGTGGTGCAACAGATGGGCTCCATCTCCTGTACATGTGATGCGAGTCCAGGACCCGTACACGTTGCATGATGCAAATGCATGAGCAAATCATTGGTACCCAGCCGATAATGGTGTTGGTGCTGGTGTTGTTTCGACCTGGCCAGAGAAGACTAGATCGTCTTCCATAATATTTCCGTCTGTTGTTGCCACGACTACAGATACGTAAGACGTTGGCTAATATTACGCGTGTCTCTCCCAGTGCCACGAGGACCCATCATTGAACGTGCCCACTGCTTCCAAACAGTGCTTGCACTTAGGGGTTCTTGCTTCCGCTCGAAGGCGCTGGGCATGTCTGCCGCTCTGGCGGCGGCTATGTTGCCACCGTCGCCGCCCCGTCGCTGCCTTTTCGCTGCACGTCGTCTGGGCCTGTCTGCCGGTCTGGCGGTTATGTTGCCGCCATCGCCGCTCCGTCGCCACCGGTCGCCGCCCGTCGTCTAGGCATGTCTGCCGTTTTGGCTGCTATGATGCCGACGTCGCCGCCCCGTCGCCGCCTCGTCGCCGCTCGTCGTCTGGGCCTGACTGTCGGTCTGGCGGCTACCTTGCCGCTGTCGCCGCCCTGTCGCCGCCTAGATTCTTTTTCCTTTCTGAAAAGGGAATAGACTCTCCCCCCCCCCGGGATTAACGACACCCCTTTTCGTAGTGCAATTTATATGGTTCTGCCCCATCGTCCATTTAAGAAATGAACTAGTACCATCCCAGCCAGGCTGGTATCAACCCCCTCCCGTCATCCCTGGGAAAAGATACTATGCGCGCGCACCCGGTTATCAAAAATCATAAGTTTCCAAGAATCCTATGCAAAAATGTGACGAAGTGCACACACGCGGGTCGTCGCGCGCGCATGCCGAAATTTTTAGTTGCGTGAGGATTTCAAGTCGGGTGTCCAAACAGCATATAAAAACGCACGGTTTCGCAACGCTGATTTTCAACAGAACAACGTGCGCGCGCGTTCTTGCGAATTCTTGAGAAGGCCATTGATTTTTCAACATTTCAGAAAATGCTGTCAAACGGGCTTCGCGCGCGCGTGTCGAAATCGTTCGAACACCCTTGCGCGCGTGCCGTCGCAAGAATCCTTTGCAACAAATAGGACGAAGTGCACGCCCGTGCGTCGTCGCTCACGCATGCCGAAATCCGTCAAAAACCTGCGGTGTCGTAGCGATGTCAAACCGAATGTAGAACAAACGTGCAAAAACACATGGTTTCGCAACATCATTTTTCAAACAGCGTGCGTTCGCGTTTTTGCGCATTCTTGAGAAACACATCTGTTTTCCACTTGCCCCATTGAGTTTTCCAAAATCTGGCGCCGCATGCCGACATCATTCGCACGCCCTTGCGCGCGTGTTGGGGGCGCACGGTCCGTGCCAAATTAGATAAATTTGGCCACTCTCGCGCGTCGGCCGCGCGCGCATGTCGAACTCTTTCCAAAACCTTTTCTCACCGACGCGAGGACGCCGTCATCGTCGTCGGCGTGAGCAGCATCGGCGCCCGCACTGGCCGCGCCTTCGCCGGTGTCACCAGCATCGCTGCTATCATCATCGCGTCTACCGTTGCCGACGTTGCCATGATACCGCGCCCGCCCAAGCCGCCGACTCGCAGTAAAGTGGCCGCTGGGATGTGCCCAGCGGTCAGCCCCACCGCGGCCGCGTCGGTGGCGCCAAGCTAGCTGGCCGCTGCGCGCGCGTGCTAGGGTTGACGCGGCCGCAGAGATGCACCAGCCAACGCCAAGCATGCATCGCAGTCGCCACCGCATGGGTTGTGCAAACCAAGTTGCAGGTGAGCAGGTGGGATGTTTGCAGTGGCACTGGGATGTGTCAACTCGCTTGTTAAAATCATTTGCACCATACAGATTGCACCACACGAATTGCATCGCAGCGTTTGCACCATGTATATGCATATATGTGTATATACATATGCATCACATATCTGGATGTATATATACACACATGTACTACACGACATATACTGAACAACTCAGGTTGACCAGCATATAATGTACCACATACATTGGCCCACAAATACTGCAAAGTCTAGATAACACCACGCAGATCGCTCGACATATATTGCATAGCAGTGGCTGCGCCAAGTATGTTGCACCACCTAAATTGTTCCACATAGAATGCACAACATTTTTCTTCTGGGGCACACTGTCGGGAGTCCGCGCTGGTAAACATTGACATCACAGCCGCTAGCATTACGACAAGAATTGGTTTCAGAGCCAAAGCAGCGACCGCTGCTTCGTGAATTAGATGGACTACTGCTTTAGGACTACACAGGCAAGCGGTGTCAAACGATAATGCGAGAAAAGCGGTCAGAGGCAAGGTCCCATAATAGTTTGAGAGGGTTTCTATAGCAGGGGGCATCCACATCGTAAGTGGAATGCGTGTCAGGAAAGCAACGAAGCGATGAAACAAAAACAGATGGCGATGGTGGTAGTAAGAATGATGCGGATGCTCAGTCGCAGTTGCTGTGGCGTTTGCAACGATGGTTTTGATGAGGATAAGGTGGGTGATGAAGTTGATGATTACGTTGATGCTGGCGATGATGGTAATGTTGATGTTGATGCGCACGCTGATGACGACGGCGATAGTAATGGTTGTTATAATGGTGGTGTCGATGGCGTTGGTGGTGACGATGGCGCTGACGATCGATACAGCGAGGAGCAGGGCGAGGACAATGACGAAGGGGACGAGGACGGTGGGGAGGGCCCCATCCTTCGACGTTGCAAGTTTCTCGTGGCGTGGGCCCCCGTGGATCTCGACCCCTTCCCCGGGGCAGATTTTCATCCTCAGCCGCATTCCACCGTCCCAGGACGTGAACGGCCTCCAGACGCCGAAAACGTCGAAGAGATAGCCGTGACAATGTGTTTTGCGGCGCCCTGGTCGGATAAGAGGAGGACGAGGAGGAGAAGAACGAGGAGCAAGAGGAGGATGACGAGGACGACGACGAAGAGCCACTGGCGTCTTCGAGCATTTCAACGACGGAGCCGACGCGAACGTTACTTGTGCTCTACCTCAGAGCCGGGGCGTCGCATTCACCATGCCACAAGGAGGAGGAAGAGGAGAAGGAAGAGAAGGAAGATGGGAAAGAAATGGTGTGGAGGATTGGGAGGATGAAAGAGAGACCAGGGGAAGGAGGAGGAGGAGGAGGAGGAGGAGGAGACGGAGGAGGAGAGGAATGACGAGGCGAGGAGAGGGTGGGGAGGAGGAGGAGGAGGAAGAGGAGGAGGAGGAAGAGGAGGGGGGTAGGGCTGCGTCTATGAAGGTACTAGTGAAGCCCGAATGCTCGTAGGAGGAGAAGGGCAAGGCTGCGCCCCTGGAGGTACTACTAAACCCCAGAGCTCGATCGGCGGCCCGAAGGAGGAGGGGAACGGGGAGGGTTAGGGCTGTGCCCCTGAAAGCACCACTGACGCCCACAGCCACTGAGGCCCGCAGTTCGAGGGCTCGAAGAGGTAGGTGATGATGGGGAGGAGCAGGCTGGTGGAAGAGGAGGCTGGAGGAGGAGGCTATAGTAGGAGGAGGCTGGAGACGGAGGAGGATGAAGAGGAGAAGTAGGCTGGAGGAGGAAAAGCGCGCTGGTGGAGAAGGAGGAGGTTGGAGGAGAAGGTAAGAGGAGGAAGCTGGAGGAGGAAGCTGGAGGAGGAGGCTCGGACGAGGAGGCTCGGACGAGGAGGCTCGGAAGAGGCGCGCGCCCTGCAAAACGCCACGCCGCCAGGTGCCGCTCTCGTCGCCGCGGTCGCCGCGCTGCCCCTCGGCCTCGGGCCCCGCGCACGCCCCGAGGGCTTCGCCGCTCCCCGCGGGCAGCTCGCGCGCCCACCGAGGGCGGCCGGCGGCGCGCAGACGCGCAGCACAACTGGCGGGGAGGAGGGGCCCAGGTCTCCGGCGATTTCGGGAGGGGGGCCCAGATTTCTTCTTCCTGCTCCTCCTCCTCCTCCTCCTCCTCCTCCTCCTCCTCCTCTTCCATTCCTTTTCCTTGTGAGTAACTTCTCCCTGTCGCACCCCGAGGCCAGATTTTAGGGCGGTCCGGGCGTTTCGCCACAGACTTCCTCACCATTTATGACACCGAAGCGTAAATATTGACAACAGTTTCACGGACTGAGGGCGGGTGGTTTTCAGAATGTGGTTCTCGCCGTAGCGCCGCGCGCATTCGTGTTAACCATTTGCACGAGCTTCACGGATTGAGGGCGGGTCGTTTTCAAAATGTGGTTCTCGGTTTACGCCGCGCGCATTCGTTTCTAAAATTGAAAGAGCTTCACGGCTTGAGGGCGGGTGGTTTTCAACACGTGGCTCACGCCTCAGCGCCGCGCACATTTGTTTTAAACATGGTCACCCGGGCTGGGCCAGCGTGGTGCGCGGGGGGCGTGCGTGCGGTACAAAATCAGCAGCAGCATCACCATCATCATCACCATCGTCAGCAGCAGCAGCATCGCTCCTACTCCTCCGCCTCCTCCTTCTCCTACATCCTCCTTCGCCTCCTCAGCCTCCTCCATCTCCTCGTCGAGGGCGACTGTTCTTAGTGTCTTCTTAGTTTTTGTCCGCGAGGTTCCTCGCCACTGCGGCCAGACTCCCATCGAAATTCTTGTCGGAGCGCGCTCCAGGACGGGTCCGGGGGAGACGACGCTTCGGCCCCCGCGCAGATTTGGTTCGCGAGGGTTTTTGCTTGTTCCCCGCGCGGGGGGGGGGAGGGCCTGCCGCATTTTTTATTTTTGCCGGGAGCTGGGCCTCCACCTTGCCAGGTCGATTCGCAAATTACTCGGTTCGGTTCTCGAGAGGCCGTTGCGGCCACAACGTTTGCGGGCCTGCGCCCGCCAGGTCTGGTCCTGGGCCGTTTTCACGACAGCTTGGCATCGCTCGGACGGGTGCGCTTGTCTCGGCGAGGCCAGCGCGAGATAAGTTGGACCATCTGGGAGCATCATGCATCATCTTGCGAACCAAAAATCACGCACGAAGCCGAACAACGCACGGGGAATGGACGCTCGAGCGATGGCAAGCGGCGAAAGGGCGTGTTGCCTCATGCGGTTTTGTCCATCCCGATCCTCTTCCGTCTGCTCCTCCTTGCGACGTTGCTGCTGCTGCTGCTGCTGCTGCTGCGGCTGCTGTTGCTCTCGTTGCGTGGCGTGTGTAACCACAGAGGTTCGCCGAAGTCAAGCACGCCGCGCAACGTCACACGTCTGCCTGCTACCCACTGTCGAAGGCGCAAGCCCGAAAGGGAGACCGCCCAGGTATGTTGCATCCCTTGCGGCGCTTGTGCACAGAGCCGCTGCTTCACCCCCCCCTCACCCTCACCCTTTCCCCCTCCTGACTCTCCCCTGTCCCCCTGCCACCCATCCGCCTCCCTACCCATCCCTCATCTCACTCCTTGTCCCGCCGCACCGTCCATCCTTTTCCCCGTCCCGCCCCCCCTTGCCGTGCCCCGCCCCCCGACCAAGATGGCCCCACCGAGGTGCGGGCCCGAGAGGTCTGCCTCTCCGCGTGCGGACCTCGGGCTCGGGGGAGGGGGGGGGCGTGGCCGCCTCCGGCGGCCACCTCCTGCGCCTGACTCCTGCAGGAGCCGGCCGTGGATAGGTGGCCTCTTGCACCACGCTCCCGCAGGGGCACAGCGAGCTCGTCGAGTCGACCCAGGCTCTACAGGAGCGGACCCAGGAACCCACGAGCCAGCAGGAAATCCTGGCCCAGAGCAGCAGCGCGCCCTCAGCGCCAACGTCCAGGAGATCTTCCGAAAGCTCAGGGCCTCCACGGCGTCTGGGCTTGGCCCGAGGTGGCCCTAGCTGTCTGGCCCATCCGGAAGCCCCATAAGAGCTTCCCAGGTTTCGCGAGGGATGCTTTTGGTGGGCCCTCGGGGCTTCCCTGCGAGGGCCTGGGGCCACCTTGGACTGCGACCACTTTCGGCAACCACTGTGAGAGTGGAGTCTCCCGATGTCCCTCCCCTGCCTCGGTGCCCCCCCCGCCCGAGCAATCGACCCCCCCCCCCCCCGACGGCCCCGACGGCGAGCAGGAGCGCCCCCCGCGCGGAGGCGCGGGCCTCTTGCAGCTGCGTGGGAGCTCGAGCTGCTCCGTCTGCCGGGGGCAGGGCCGCACAGGCTCGCACCTGTGCCACTCCAGGTCGAGCAGCACGACGAGCAGCGCGGCAGAGTTGCGACCGGCAGAGCGCCGCAGCACACACGCGGCCAGCGCGATGTCAGACGCGTTCGTCTCGCCGGTGCACCTGCAGGTGGCGAGGGGCAGAGAGGAGAGGGCGGGAGGACGGGGCGACGGGCGCGCGGCGGTAGAGAAGCATTGCCCCCGCTGCGGAGAGAGGACGAGTCGCCATGCTTGGAGCACGGTGCTTTTTTGGCGGGCCGCCGCCGTCGGGCAGGGGCGGCCTTCGACGAGCGCGCCACAGGAGGAGGCCGCCGGAGGGCGCGGGCTGTACGCCCACGAACAGGTGCGGAGAGGAAGAAGAGGGCGAGGAGGCGTAGGCGCAGAGGAAGGCCAGGAGAGTATTGAGAAAGAGGGGGGAGACGCAGAGGAGTAGTGAGAGAGCTAGACAGGAGGAGGAGGGAGGAATCGAGTATGGAAGCAAGAATGTTCCACGCGTGCGCTGGCGCGAAGTGGCAGGTACGCTATTCAAGCTGTGTGAGCGTGTGCGGCTGAGCCTATCCCGAGCCCGCGCTCATCCGTCAGACGGCGCGTCGGGTGCCATGCGCGTCGCCTTCTGCTGCCCGCACACTGGCCCGCGTGGCACTCGTGGAGCCTTCCAGAGGCCGCCCGGCGCGTGCCCACAAGCTCCGTGGAGCTGATGTGGCTGCTGATGGTCCTCCGTATCATCCGCCTCCTTCTCCCCCCATCCTCGTCCTCCGCTCTCCGCCTCTGCGCTGCTCGAGAAGGAGCGGGGCAGGGTACGGGCAGGGTGTGGGAAGTTGTGCACGGCCAGGCCGTGGAAGCTCGCCGAAGCCGTGGCTCACTTTCAGGGGGTGCGCAGGCTTGCGCGAGCTGCAGGAAGGCCAGCACGCGCAGCTCACGCTGCAACTGAGCAGTGCTCCTTCCTTCGGGTGGCCAATCTGCGCATGCCATGGCATACCGTCTGGCACCGCGGGGCCGTCGGAAGCCTCCCGGAGACCTCCGACGGCCTCGCTCGAGCGAAAACGAGCGACGTCAAAGAGGGGGCTGGCTGAGCCGACGTTCGCGCGCAGGCTGCCCGCGTGAGTCTAGGCGCCCACTCTCCCACGCGGCCTGCCGCGCGGGTGACTCTGCGTGAGTCGCCGCGCGGAGGTCCCTGTGTCCTCACACGTACGGCCCCTTCCCTGTCGCCGCTCCTCCCAGACATCCGATGGCTTGAGGTGTCGGCTTTGGCCTGCTGCCTCGCCGCCTCCGCCGAGGGCGCCCGCGGGCGCGTGCCGATCAAGATCCGCACGGGGAAGCGAGGCCGAGGGTGGCGATCTCCTGGAGCCAACGCCGCAGCGCCGAGCTGTGCGCAACGAGGCCGAAGACCACCGCATGGGGACTGTCCCCAGACATGCGACGTCTTGTTTTCTTCCATACGGGTCCCCGGAAGTCCCGATACTTTCAACGGTATTTTCACCGGGACCAGCTTTTCATCCTGAGTGGTCTTTTGACGGTCACGAGGCCTGGCGAGGGCTCCCAGGGGCCGAAAACGGCCATAAACCTCCAGTTATGATTTCTGTTTGATGACGCGATCATGTCTGGGTCGGGGTCAGCCATTGTTGAGCGCATCGGCGCCCCGCCAACCTCCGCGGCGCCCGGGGCGGGCAGGCGCGGACACCGCCGCCGCCACCGGCAGGGTTGCCGCGCTCGCCGGGCGGCCGAGCTGGGCCCCAGGGCGCGCAGCTGGCGACAGCTCGCGGGCGGGGCGGGCCGGGGGGCCGGGGGGGGGAAGAGGAGAAGGAGGAGGATTTTTTAAACATCAACGGACAGCCGTCACGATACAACTGTGGGGCGGCGAAACCCACAGAGGGCTCTCCTTGGTGCTGCTGACAAAAACAGATTGCCTGATTGTTAGGCCTGTAAAGCCAACTTGCGCTTCCAGAAGCCTTGAAAATGTGCTTCTGGACCCCCCCCCTAAGGATCCTTAGGGGGGGTTTTGTCAAGGACGATTTACGCGCCACCCACGAACTGAAACGGATCTGTGAAGCGCAAAATCGTTGGACAACTAACAAACCTGTTTAATCGGAACCAGACTCTGAACCTTCAGGTCTGCTGTGAGAATTCTGGCCGCTCGACGCGGCGGCCTCCAGCCTGAGTGCCGAAGCGACATTCTGAAGTGCAGAGGCAGTGTCGGGAGAGGGCGGCACTGCACTGGCCTCGAGACTGGCGCCAGGATCGAGCCCAGGGGCAAACGCTGGCACCACAGGCGCATCAAAAATCTTCAGATTCTTGTCTCTGGGATGGAAGCCTGACGAGATCTTGTTGAAATTGGTTTTGCCGTGTCTGCTGAGCTCCGTGAGGCACCTGCCAGCACAGTTGCTCTTCACTAGCGCTCCCTGGTGGAGGCATGCCCCGCAGCTCAGACACAGGAAACAATCGGAGGCGTCCGACACGTGAAAAAGCGCCGGCTTGTGAACGTTAGACTCGGCCGCGTCCATATCATGCTGGCGGGGTCCAGCACACCTCCCTGGCTCAGGCCTCACCACCGACCTGGAGCCCTTCCTACACACAGTGCACCAGCAGACATTTCCGAACCTTTGCCAATCGTGCTGCTCCACTGGCTGCACCTCTTTGGGTGCTCTGGGTGGCGCCTTGAACTCAACCCCATTCAAGTCTAGTCTCGGCCACTTCGGAAGCAGCTTGGCGGCGAGCCTGCACACAGTTTGAGAGATTCGCACCAGTCTGTCAACGGCTTCGTGCTCCTCCGGCGAGGCCTGAGGGTGGAGCAGGGCACCTTCACGCGCAGCTTTGTCAGCGTGATCGTTGCCCTTCCTCCTGAACAGCTCCTCTGGCGACAAATCAGGGTCGTCAACCGAGAGGTGAGCGCGAACTTTCGTGAGCGACTTGAGGCGAGACCCAGGATTTACATATTGACAAATCCATGAATATTTGCGCTTGTACGAAAGCCGCTGAGAAGGTTGTAGGCTGTGGTGTCCCACCACAGCGGCACAGTCAGAGTAAACGTGGCTGTCTCCAACAACCTGCAGTGCAGCCATCCCGAACGCCGAACGCTGAGAACTCAGCAGCAGGGGCCTACTGCGGCAACGGCTGGTGCACTGGGCCGAGGACGGAACAAAGCAGCTCCCCATCTTCCGCAACCTGGCACACACTCCAGCCTGCACGCCCTAAGTCAGTAATCGGATGCTTGAAGAACGAGCCGTCCACAAACAGGCTCCCTTGCAGGTCCCCATCTTCCCCTTCAGGGTAGTTGTTCGATCTGATCACCCGGCCATCGACCGAACGAGGGTTGGGCCAGAACGACTCGGGGTGGGCAAAGATGCCTGGAGTGAACAACACAAGGTCGGAGGGGGAGAGATCGCTCTCGGATTCGGCCCGCACGGAGGCCGTGGCAAGTTCATCTCGCTCATCAGCGCAAGCTTCGCACTGCCACAACCGATGAAAGATGGAGTCCTTCACCTTGCCGCAAAGCTGGCAGAGCTTCTGCTGCTCCGTCAGCTGGTACCCGAGACTGGTCGCTCGTTCAGCTGTCCAGCAGCCGTCGCACGCCAAGCATCGGATGGAGCCGCGCTCCAGAGGCGAATGCTTGCTCGACTTAGCCTGGGCCTTCACAGTATCAAAGCAAGCCCTGCCCCATCCTTCCCCAATCTTGTTTGCCGCCGAGACCTCGAGGAGCCGGATGATGGCTTTCTGGAGGATACCCTTGAGGAGTTGGGGGCTGATGAAAGTGAGCACGACATCGACACCGGTGTGGCCACGAAGCACAGCAAAGCTTGGCATAGTCCACCCAAGTCTTTAAACGGAAAGGAACAGGGCCCCAACAGGGCCGCACACCGCACTCCATTTCGCAGGTTGCCTGTTGGGGTGCTCGAAGGTAGTGGCCCAGGCTTTCCTCAAGTCAGGGAGCGGAGTATAATATAGAAAGGCATGGCGCTGACCTGCCCATATTTCTGTGCTCCAGCGCACAATAGGAGCAACAGCTGCATGCCAACATGGATCGTCGCCACAGATCAACGTCGCAGTAAGCGACTTCCCTCCAGCTGAAGGTCGCATGCATTTCCCCGCCTGCACTCTGAGAAATTCCAACTCCCTGTCACTGGTCCCGTGCACTTCCGCCCAATAAGTGATGCCCGGCAGGGGCCCAGTCGCAAAGTTACGCCGAGCGGACGCTCCCAGAAACTTGCGCTGACGTACAATACGGCGAACACGTGCACGAAGGTGAGCTGTCCGCTTCTTACGCTTGACAGCTCCACCACGAACTCGGACCGGTAGGCCAGCAGTATCATCGATGCCTAAATTGGTGGCAGAAACCGTGAAGCCTTTTCCCCGAGACCTTTCCAAGCCACTCAAGGAGACGTCCGAGTCGAGGGCAGCTAGCGATCAAGCCGGCCTTGTCTGGAGAGATCGCGAAGCCTAAATCCACGGAGAGGGCCCGATACATTGCAACCGCCCCAGATTTCAAACCTTCCAGGACCTGCGAAGGCGCCCCGCGAGCAGCCAGACCCATGTCGTCGATATATAGGTCGAGCTGAACAGCAGGGCTAAGTGGGATCCTCGAGAAAGCCTCCATGTAAAAAGTGCGCATGAAGTTGGTAGCCATATTGCAGCCTGCAATATCACCACGGAGGGCCCCTATGAAAGGCACTGCTAGGAAACCAGCAATATTGATAAATCGAGCTGATCGATAAGTTCCAATGCGCAGCCTAGCGACAACAACCGAGAATCCACGACCGATGCACTTCTGCAAGAGCGATTCGAGGCCGATCAGCTCATAGAACTTGCACATGTCCCACAGCAGGCTGGCGGCCTCATGGCCGGAGGGATGGGCCTGCTCGCTGGCCGAGGCTCGGCGCCAGACCACGCCCGACGCGTTCTTGAAGCCGTGCCCGGCGAAGAAGGACTGGAGGTGGGCCTCTTCCCACGCCGAGGACACGGACCGACGCGCGTTGCCCCGGATGCGGCGGGGGGCCGCGAAAATCCAAATCGGCCTCAGCCCACCAAGGCCCCCCGGGATCATCGCCAGCATAACGAGCCGAATCTGCACAGGCAACGAGGACATGATTTCGCAAACCATGAGAGGCGTCGCGAAAGCACTCAGGGCCCCGTCCGACAGGAAACTGAAGTGCTTCATGTGGAACCCGTCCAACGACGCAGCCGACCTGGCGCCGTAGGACCGACTGGCTGTCCTCGAGCTTCAACCGAGATCCGAGGGAGAGGCTCCAGGGGGACGAAATCCGACGGCTCGGGAAAACACTCGTTGGAATCTTCGGCCAGCCAGAGATCTCGAAACTTCTCGCTTTCTCTCCGCAGCAAGGCGAGCGGGTCGGCAATGGCCCGACCATCAGCAGAAAGAGTGGTTGAGGGTTGCCACGCCTCAACAGGCTTCGTCCAAAGGTGGGCATTGCGCCCCCCCTTGTCCAAAACCTTCTGGAGCCAAGCTTTCCACGACCGCCCCCCCTCCTGCCGGGCTCGACTGGGCCCCAAGTCGAGCACAGTAGCAACCGTTCAAGAAGAGATGCGGCGAGGTCCTGTGAGCAGCCAGAACGCACAGCCCCCTGAACAGAACCGAACAGGGGGGCGTGCTCACTCCGACGCAACTGCTCAACCAAAAACCTACTCGGCCCAAGCAGGACATGGGACCACGAGGAAAGGTCGGCAGCAGCAGGAGGCTCCACGGGCCAAGCACCTCCGGACGCCCCGGCATTGGGCTGCATGTCGGAAGCCGCCGACAGACCAGGCCACTGCGAAGTCGCCCAGACCCGGAAAGAGCGAGCCAGCCACCTCGCAGCATACAAGAGGGGATGTCGGTGAGGCCGACTATCCTTCCTATGAATGTCCACCCGCCACAGCTGCGGATTCTCACCCCTACGCCCGTATTTCGGCAGCTCAACTTGCAACGAGGGCCAAGCTCACGCTCGGCAAGGTTGGCCCAAGAGCGGTAAATATTAGCTAATCCTTTGCGGGCCCGTTTACCCCCCGGCCTGGCGCGCTCCAACATTTCATCTGCGAGCTCGGACACAGAAGACCAATCGGGCGGCTCGGGGCGCGGGCCGATCGGGGCCGAGGGCGGAATAGGGGGGGGTTTCCGAAAGGAGAAGGCCTTGAACTGATACAGGCGGGGGTGGAAACTTAAGACCACTGTGGGGGGGGGGGGGGGGGGGGGGCAATGGGGGCCAGGGCGTCAATATAGATGTTCCGAACGCCTTTGGAGAGCCCGCTGGACACAATGAAGTAGTCGTAGTTGTTTTCCTCCCCTCGGTGGAAGTAGAGGTGCAAGTGCCGAACCCAGCGCCAATCGACTGGGCAGCGAGATCCTCGAGAAACTTATTATAACCTCCTAGAAGCGTTGGTGGCATGGTAAAGTCGCCACCGATGATGCACGACCTGAGACAACTCGAAACCAGACCTCCTATCTTGTAGAGAATGAACATGTTGTGGCCCGACAGGCCCTGGCAATCATGTGGATAACAACTGGCGACCAAGAAGGGGTCCTGCCTAGGAAGGTTCACCCGAGCAGCAATGGCCCGATGCGCAGCAACTTGGGAACCAGTCGAAGGAGCAGCCAGGCCTAAGAAGCAACGGCAAACCACTGCCACCCCGCCTGAGGTGCCGGGGGCCGACGTGAATCTCGCGAGGAGGAGGAGGAGGAGGAGCAGGAGGAGGAGGATGGGGGAGGGGGAGGAGGAGGAGGGGGGGGGGGAGAGGAGGAGGAAGGAGGAGTAGGAGGAGGACGAGGAGGAGG